TATGTGGTATCACGACCAGGGATATATCAAATGGTGTTCTCAAAATATATGGATAAATAAGTCTCATTGTTACAAATCATTCTCTCGAGATGATTTCCATATCATTCAAGTTGGTGTATGCTCTAAGTAGTTCATCTATGAATCTACTGCACTTTAACACTTAACAAGTGACCAACTCATCGAGAATTAATTAGTTAAAAAATATAAATGACAAATCTCTATGTCAACAACTCTCTCAAGTCTACTTTTCATATCATTCAAATTGACGTGCATTCAATGACTTATCTCTAAGACCATGGCACTTTAACACTTTCAAAGTGATCAACTTGTCAAGAAGTGTCATTGGTTTTATAAAATTTGAATGAAATAGTGGAACGTTGTTATTGCGAAACACGTCCACTTTCCTTTAGTTTAAGATCTTACCATTTGTCTCACACCCAAGCTAATAGAATTAGCTACTCATTATGAAAAGTAAATTGTAAGAAAAGTAAATAACATAAAGTAAAGACATGAATTTAAATGACTGAAAGTAAATGACGGAAATTAAAGAGCGAAATGTAGAGAATGGAAAGCGTAAAGGAAGTAAAAGACAAGATTTAAAGGAAATTACGGGAATTATATTAAAGTAAGAAAATAAACTAAAAACATTTATTTTACAATCAGCTTAGAGCTAATTGGATCTTTCTAAAAATGAAAACCAACCTCCTCTATTTATACTAAGCTAGAGGGGGTAAAATGGAAAATTACAAAACTAGGGGCCAAAGCTAACAAAAAGTCAAAATAAAAGTACATAAAGCTAATTAAATTGTCTAACTAAGTAATTCAAGTACAACAACCATCTTGGTTTCACAAAAACTCCAGATCTTGATTCGTAAGTTACAAAAATCCAGATTCTAAGTTCATCTAGCAGCTTAACGCAATAAGCCTTCCAAAAAGCCATTGAAACTAGCAGATTCAATGCTGCAGCATTACATGAAGTACACACAGTCTGCCCATAAGGTCTAATTAGCCTACTATTGGAATAAAATCAGTATCACAACTTCAACTCTATGAAACAATAAATGAAAAATAATATAATAAAAAGGACTCAAGATTGGGATAAAAGGAAACTAAGCTAACTATAAATGGCGTAATGGGTGCTTTATTTATTGAATCATCAGTGCATATTAGTAACTTTTTAAACCTTCCCTTGTGATACAATTTTTAACAATATTGCTTGACAAGTAGACACAATGTCCTTGAACTATTTTATAGTTTATGTAGAAGATAAATTATTAAAAGCCATATGCTTATTCTGACATAAGGTCCACTATTAGATTAGGAATGAGCAAAGAGAAGAAAACTTATACCTGAAGTGATCTAGTCAAGTATATACAATTCGGTTGTCCCTTTGAACCTAGATTTTGGGATCTATTAAATTATATAGAATTAGGGGTCTATTTTTTAGCTTCTTAATACGCTTAATGGGACTCACATTTTATTCGGTAAGCTATTCATGACTGTTTGATAGTGACTTAATGATATAGAAAGTGGCTTATTTAACAGCTTTTAGAGTGGATCTTTACACCAAAAGCCAAGTTATTTCCAAACATGCCCCTCCTAATTACAAAACACTCTCATTTTATCTATGAAACAACCTTCTCAAACAACAATCTTCACAATCTTAGGTTGTCCTTTCAAACATAAATCTTGGGATCTCTAGTTAGCTAGGTTAGGTTTCCTTTGTATAATTATTCATTAAAGGGCTTTAGTGCCATTCCTCTAAAGTCTAGACGGCCTACTCACCAACTCATAACTTAAACCCTTTGTTAGCGGATCTGCAATGTTATTCTTTGACTTCACATAGTCAATAGAGATGACTCTTGTTGTGAGTAGTTGTCTTATGATATTATGTCTTTGATGAATGTTTCAAGAATTGCCATTATATATAGCAGTATTTGCCTTGCTAATTGTTGATTGACTATCACAGTGCATACAAATAGAAGACACTAACTTAGGATATCTTAGGATGTCTTCCAATAAGTGGTGAAGTTATTCGAATTCTTCTCCATATTATCATACACTATAAATTGAAATTCTATAATGAATCCACTATGACTGTTTGCTTTAAGGATTTCCATGATATGTCACATCAACTATAAAGATAAAACCACCAATGGACTTTGAACCCCTTTATATCAGATATCCAACTTATGTCACTATACCCTTAATAACCACATGATATATGGTATATTGTAATCCATACTCTCGAGTGTATCACAAATATTGTAACACTATTGTTATAATGTTCAAAATTATGATTAATTGTATATATTGACTTAGTCTACTTATATCAAAGGCTAAGTTAGGCCCGTTATAACTCATATATACTAGACTTCCAATAATTCTTGAGTATTCTACGCGGGCAATCCCTTCACATATAAATTTAAAAGGTTGTTGATGATGTCAATTAGCGTTTTAGACACACTAGAATCTTCAACATTAAATTTCTCAAGAATTTTATCCACATTATCGGTTTGAATTAATATAAGTCCATTTTGTATCCTGAGATTTTGACTCTAAGAATCACATATGGCAAGCACATACCTTTTATGTCAACCTTGTTTTAAATATGTTATTTGTTGATTGGATCATGTTATAATGCTCAATATGCTACTGTAAACTCTCAAATTTCTAGCAACGATGCCTAGTGGTAACACATAACGAATCACAATGGTAACATTTCACAGACAATTTTTTACACCACGACGAAATATATTAGTGGTAGCATGTGCCATCATTTCCTTACAAGTGGATCCACCCTTGTCGATGACAAAGTGAGGTTAAAGTTATACCCGTCAAATGGGGTAGTCGGATTTGGTAAAAGATGAAAGCTAAGTGCAAGAAGGTATAAAAATACCATTCACTCATCATAGAGTATAAACTCATAATCAGGTCTTCAGAAAGTTTTCAACAAAATTAAGGTAAGAAATCTATGATAACTTGACATATAAACAACCAGAATAGCATATGATGTTAAGGAATCTGTAGTATGCGACTTGCAAAGTCATGAAAATGAAGTCAAGATTGGCGATTTGTGAGTCGCCAATAAAGTCATGTTGGGCACATCATACGAGTTCCAACTTGCGTGAAAATCCTCTAGGTTTAGCCAGTTCAAAAGCTACCTAATAGGTAGCATAAAAGTCACATAGACCCCATGGATGCGAAATTATCCAGATCAATATGTAATGTTGAACAATAATGTATAGACCATTTATGACTATGAGAAAAGTTCAAATGAGAACGCTAACTATTTAATAAAACAAGAAAACGGTCGTTAATGTACAAAATCACATATGATTTTACATTAACATAAAAAAATGGAAGCGAACGACTTTTGAACATGTATGATTTTGTACGCGAATATATATATATATATATATATATATTTGTGTGTGTGTGACTCATGTATGAGTGTGTGTGTATGTGTGTGACTCATGTATGATCTTGTACGTAAAAAAAATATATATATATAGGGGCTGGTTCAAATACTAACCAAGATTATCGTGTTAACTTTGTTAACCGATCTTGGTCGTTGATTTGAACATCTAATGGTTGTGGTTTAATGAGAATAAGAATTTAATTATTTAATTAATATATTAATTAATAATATGTGAACAATGGATTAACAGGGTAAAAATGTAAAAATGCGTTCACATGAATCACAGAGCCTGATCACATGTTCATGTGAACGCGTTGTGCATATGTATCGATATGAACAACGACATGACATACTACTCAAAAATCCTGTTCATATTCATGTGATGTAGTTGTGCATATGTATCGATATCCACACATTCTGCCTTTGCTATATGTTCATATGTTGTGTGTGTCCTTATGTCTTAGTATCTCTTGACATGTGATGTAATTGTTCATGTGTGTCAATATGAAAATCTAATGCATTTCATACAGCTGAACACTAATCAATCATAACATCTATATCTATTTGATTTGTGCAGTTTCATATGTGTTAATGTGTGTCCATATCTCTTATAATCTATTCATATCTGTTTCTCTATCAACTAAATTAATCCCTAAACATATGCCGTACCAGAATGTGCATAAGATTTTTCAACGAATTTAACTATATTTGCAAGAATATTTAATGGTTCACAATGGTAATAGTTGTTCATTTAAACAAAATAAATGTCATATTAATCACTTACCAATCAGAACACTTTGATCATCTTCTTCATCATCGGAATTCGAATTCCGACCGTAGTAGTATCCGATTTTAACTTTGTCATTTATATTGTTATCAATATGATTTACAATAGTATTATCCATATTACTCGGACGATACATAAATATTTTACACGTACAAAACATATCATTATATGTAGAACATTACTTGAAATCACGATCATGAACACAAATAAATATAAAAATCAGAATTACCTAATGATCAATTAGAGGGATCTTTAAGATTTGTAACTCCCAATTAATTATTAGGGAGTTACATACAGGTCAAATTACATAATCACCCTTGTATTTAATTTATAAGTTACATTTGAACATAAAGTAAAGAAATAATATGATTGGTTAGTTTTGGTTAGTATAGTTAACACAAATTTCTTGGTTAATATTTGAACCAACCTCTATATATATGTGAATCATATATGATTTCGTATGTGAATCATATATGATTTTATATATTAACGACATTTTTCTAATATTCTTAAATAGTTAAGGTTCTTGTTTGAAACTGCCCCGTGTGACTACATCGGTAATTAGAGGTATCGAAAATAAATATAACTTGACTGCACCCATTTTAACGATTTTGAAAGATCTATTAGAACCGTCCAACCTTTACAATTTGGTGCATATAGTCAAATGGATGAATCTTGACACAATTTAAAAGTCAAGTGGCAGAAATGAGTAATTATAAAGCCTAGGGATTAAATTCAAACAATTAAACCATTTCTATATAAAACACTTTAACAAAGTGTGATTGCAGGCCTCATTCGGTCGTCAGAAGTCAGATTTCCACTCTCAATCTTCTCTCTCTTTCTCTGGCAATGGCGAAGCTGTCGAATCTTCCGATATATGCATCTCGCGTTTACTTCGTGCTCATCGTCCTCCAAATTCCCTTTTTTAGGTATTATTTTTAATTTAATTTCATTGCAATTTGATTCATATTTTTGATGATGTGTGCGATTCGTAATTAACTTCAACTCGTTATCACTTGTAGTTTTACTCGATCTTTGTAGTGATAGTATGTTGATTTCTGTGATTCTTAATAGATCTTTTTACACCGATGAATCTGTGTTCAGTTTCGTTTGGTCGATTCAGAATATCGATTTCTTCGATTATAATCGTTGGCTCCGGAGTGATCTCTACTAGTTTGAGTCACTCTATGTAATTATTTTTGTAAAATTTAGCTCAAATTCTGTTTCTTTATTTAAATGATGCCTTGTTTTTGTTCCTGCATTAGACAAATGCTCCCTTTGATAATTGATTTCAAACACAGTACTTGACCGCGACATGGATTCTGTTACAAATGTAACACCATCAATTTTCTATTCGAAGCATCTCTTATGAAGTTAAATGCGACTACAAGGTTTTCCTTGAAGAATTAGTATTCATACCAAATTTGAAGTTGAAAAATTACCTGTCTGACCTCAAAATTCGAGTACACATTTTTATGTGATCCCTGAGGTAGTTGAAGGTGCAAACCGGGCAGACATCACTTACTTAACTGTACAGAACATATCAGGCTGCCTAGCCGTTTAGCTGGGACAGGCTGCAGTAAAACAGAAGTATTTTTGGGTGTATTTAGACCTTCTAGAGAGTAATGTTTGGAAGAGGGCAAGATGGTCAGTGGTGGGTTTCGAAGAACATTTAATGTTTTTCTCTATTTCCTATGTTCCTTATTTACTTTCTTATGTTTTTCCCATACTTGGAGGTTGTTCCAAGATATGTTCTTTTATTTTTCTTTATGTTTCCCACATGGTTTTCAAAATCGTTTCAGGCGTACGCCTCATGGTCTCTGGACGAGGCTTAAGCCTCAATTGTTGAGGCGATGCCTTGAGGCGTTGAGGTGTTTCTGTGGCGCAAGCCTCAGTTTGCTGCAGCCGTAATTCATTGAAAATAGGTATCTGATGAGGTGAGAATAAACAAAATTACTTAAAAAGTTTTTTTTAAGTAAAGTCAATCACTCAATTGGACTTTTATAATTTAAAAGTACAAAGAAGCCTTTTATAGGATGTACTGTCTTATCAATCAAAAACAAATGTTACCATTCCATTCTCTAATCCTACTTTCGTCTTCTTCTCCTACTTTCTTCTCAAATTTTCTTCTCCACCGAGAAGACCTCTCCAAACCCCATTTTTTTCTTCTCCATTTCTTACTTTTTCCTCTCTCAAGAAGATATTCTCTTAAGAAGATATTCATCTCAAAGACCAACTTGATCATGTTACGGGGAACTATAAGTTGTAGATTGATATGTTTTTAGACTTATAACTAGTAATTTTATGAATCTATGACGTTTAAAGTTTGGTATGGAATTATGTTTTGCTTACTATTAATATTTATGAATTTTATTTGTTTTATGCCTCGAGGCTTGCGTCTTAGACCGCCTCGAGGCTTACGTCTCAGGGCGTGGAAGGAAAACGCCTCGAGTCCCGATTCCGCTTTTTAAAACCTTGGTTTCCCATGCTTGGAGAATGTTCCAAGCTACCCTATTTAAGCATCAAGTCTCTCGTAAGCCAACACAATTTTGTTGTACGAATGAAGGTTCCTGTTGCATTTCTATCAACTCTTATACAATGAGCTCTTATTTAATGGTAAATTATTCTGCGTCTTATCACTCTTCATCCTTCTTTCTAAGAGTGTAGCAAATTAAACTAGGATTATTGTTTGTGGCTATTTATCTTATCAAATAAAGATTACTAGTCTTCTTTTCAACCAACCTACCTTAGGAACCACATCCTCTAGTGCAACTGTACGGAGCACAAATTGTACTCATGGCAGAAGAGCAAGTTCCAAAGGGGATTTCTTTTGAAAAACCTCAAATTATGGCACTCCAACATAAACAAGAGGAAAGGATGAATCAACTTGACCTAATGACTCAAGCCCTTGAAAGAATAGCATTGCAACAGCCACAAGGTGGTTTTCCTATGATGAAGTTGCGAACAATGGAGAAGAGTTTCACCGGCAACAACCACCATAGTTGTGAAAAGATCGCCTAGGCGCCGAGGTGCATAAGGGGAAAAGACCTGGGTCTTTTCCTTGTCGAGGCGAGGCCTGCAACTGAGGCCCACCAAGGCGCAGTGCCTTGGCTGTCGGCTGAGGCGCAAAATGGGCTTAGGTGCGCCTTATAGAGATCTACCCTAATTTCAAATATTTCTTTTGTCTCTTAGACTTCTACAAGGAGTTATTATATAAGTCAAAACCTAATATTAGTTATGTCTTTTAACCTCTGGACTTCTACGAATATAGTTATTAGATAAAGTCTATTCAATTCTCTATTCAATTCTAATCAGTCATCTCCTATAACTACCTCCCATACATACGACCCATACATTATACTCTCCCTTCCCTCACGGCTTTAAAGTTTAAACCTTTATACTTCTTCCTCACGGCTCTCTTCTGGACTTCTGGTTACTGCCTTGGAGGCTTATACTTCTTCCTCACGGATCTCTTGTGGACTTCTGCTTGCTAAGTGTTGCTACATACAACTGATACAAGTATGTATATTTTTTTTTTTTTTTTGATATAGTCTATTTTTCTTGCACCAAGCTTCTAAGGCTGCCTTTTTTTTCTTCTGTAAATCGACACACACACATACGGCACCAAGCTCCAAAGGCTGCCTTTTTTTTTTCTTGTAAGTTTTAAGTCGACACACACACATGACACATATGGCCGTCGTTTTCTTCTCTTGTAAGCTTCAATTGGCTGCCATTTTTTCTCTTGTAAGTCGACACACAGACATGACACATTTGGCTGTTAATCACAGAATCACAGGCTGTGATTTTGCTCATTGGCTGCCTTTTTTCTTCTCTTGTAATTCGACACAGACATATGGCACCAAGCTTCTAAGGCTGCTTTTTTTTTCCTCTCCTGGAAGTCGACACACACACATATTGCAACAAGCTTCTAAGGCCGCCTTTTTTCCTCTTGTAAGTCAACACACACACACGACACATATGGCTGCTAATCACAGAATCACAGGCTGTATTTGGCTCATTGGCTGCCATTTTTTTCTCTTGCTTTCTATTTTTGCATATACTATATAATATTCTTTTTCAAATAAAGAATTATGTTAAGTGTTATGAGTTTTGGTTAGAAGCAATATTAGGTCATGGATTCTCAAAATAATCACAATAAAGCCGTAGTGGAGATCCCGCTTGGAAGTATTGCACAAAAGGTACATGTCCCGGCATTGTAAAATGCAATTCTTGTGCCATTCTTACAAACAGAGGAGTATACTGAGCAAAGCAACATATTGCTGGTGGATAACAAAATATGAAAGGATGTACAAAAGTACCGGCTCAAAACCTTTGGACTTAGGCAGCCTCGTGATGAAATCAAAGGAGATGTCTTCCCAGATCGCAGTTGGAATGGGCAAGGGTTGAAGAAGCCCCGTGGGTGCTGTGCTAGAGGACTTGTAGCGCTGGCAGATGTCTCAAGCCTGGACGTATGCCTTAATCGTGTTCGTCATCCCCCAACCAATAAACTTGTGAGGCTAGCCGTCGGTAGGTCCGATAAAACCTGGAGTGTCCCCCGCACGGACTATTATGAAAGTCAGCTCGCATTTTGGGGATCCAGCGAGAATTCGCAGGAATCACAAGCTTCCCTTTATGGAATAACCGACTGTTAGAGAAGGAAAACCCTGGGTGTGAGCGTGGGTCTTTAGTTAGATCAAGAACTAGTTTTTGAAGTTCCGGATTAAAGTCAATTTCTTCTAACAGGGAACCACCCTCCAACTATTAAGGATAAGACAACAAGATATCCAGCTTGTTTCCTAACCTCCCCTATGTGGGACAAGGCATTCGCTGTGCCATTCTCCTTTCCGGGTTTGTAATGAATGGAGAGAATTGGTAGCCCATGAGCTTGGCAATCCAATTCTGTTGGTCAGTCGTTGTTATACGTTGGTCGAGCAAGTGGCGCAGGCTCTATTGATTGGAAAAAACCGTGAAGTGATGCCCTAACAGATAAGGCCACCAATGGTGTATTGCGAGAACAAGAGCCATAATCTCCTTTTCATAGGAAGATTTTTATCGGACAAGGCCTTACTGAAATAAGCTATAGGCTGTCGGGATTGCATAAGAACAACCGCTAATCCCCGTCTCGGAGCATCACATTCGATTTCAAATGGTCGAGAAAAGTCGAGTAAAGAGAGAACCAGAGCTGTGACCCGGGCCTGTTTCAATTCACTGAAGGAAGATTAAGAGGTAGGACCTTGACAGAACCCATCATGTTTTGTTAATTCCGTAAGAGGCTTAGCAATTTTCCCATAGTCGCGTATAAATTTTCTGTAATAGCCTGTGAGCCCTAAGAAACCATGGACAGCTCTGACGGTTTTTGGGGTAAGCCATTGCTGGATGATGGAAATTTTGGAAGGATCCATCGATACTTCTGTACTATTGATGATGTGGCCGAGGTATTCAACTGAGTGGCGACCAAAGCTGCTTTTCTTTTGGTTGACAACCAATTGATTAACTTGCAAGAGTTGAAGAACTTTCGAAAGAAGCTGTAAATGAGCTGACCAAGTCCGATTATAGACTAAGATATTATCGAAAAAAACAAGTACCCCCCGGCGCACTAATGGACGGAAAACCTCGTTCATTAAAATGTCGTCGGTGCATAACCAAAAACTTAGTGCTAGTTATGAGTTCGAAACGTGGTTTTTCTGTGTCATAGTCTCAGACGCGAACTTGACAGAATCCTGGCTTCAATCGATTTTTGAAAAGAATTGTGAACCATACAGTTCATCCAGTAGCTCCTCAACAACCAGAATCGGATACTTGTCCGGAATAGTAGCACAATTTAAGGTCTTGTAATCAATACACATACGCGATGTAGAGTCCTTTTTCTTAACAAGGATTACAGGACTGGAATAGGCACTCTCACTGACTTGAATGGTTCTAGTTGCAA